AGGGGTTGGAGAGAGGTGGGGGATGTCTCTCCTGCCATGGCTGCAGGGAGAGGACTAGAGGAAATGGCCTTGACCTGAGACAGGGCAGAAACAGAGGAGATGTTGGGAGAAATGTTTTCCCTGTTAGGGTATTCAGGCACTGGAATATTGCTCAGGGAGGTGGTGGAGTCACCATCCCTGGGGGTGTTTGAGAGGTGTCTGGACCTGGTGCTGGAGGATATGGGTTAGGGTTAAGTGGTTCCAGCAGTTACAGGTTAATGATTGGACTTGATGATCTTAGAGGTCTCCTCCAACCCTGATGATTCTGTGACTCTTCTCCCTGGGGAGATGCTGAGTGCCAGAGGCAACTCTTTCAAACACCAGAGTCTCTTTGTGGCACACTGAAAGAGTAAAGCTGAAACGGAAACTGCAATAATATAATGGCAAACAAGTCACCTTGGAGACATTTCTGATTCACTTCACTTAAACCCACACCAGGTTGTTTCCCCCTCCACAGCTGCAGCACAGGTAAGGAAGGTGTTTATAGCCTTGAATTTGCATTTTTATTGCTTTTACTCCTCTGATAGCTTTTAAAATGCATTTTTTGCCCTTCTGGGATCTGCAATTGCCATCTTGTATCCCATCTCTTACACACACTTTGTTCTGAATTGCTCAAGAAATGAAGATTTATTGCTTAGGGTTTAGGGTTTGGCTGAGAATTCTGAGCTGGTTAATGATCTGGAGAAGGAAATTCAATTGCTTAGTTCTAGGACCACCTGCAGCTCCCCAAGAGCTTTCTGTACTCACCCAAGAAGGTTGAAACATTCAACATGATCCCAAACAAGCATCTTTCAGGAGGGATTGTCCCAGTGTCACTGGAAGAGATAAATGGACATCTCTCTACTAAACAATACTTGCAACACAACTTTAGTTAGCTCAGACTACATAAGAGCCATAAGGAAAACCATTCCAGGTATTTCTCACTGCACTTTTCATTCTTCAGGCTGTGCTGTGATGGTTTTGGAGCTGTGGAAATAGCCATGGGAAAGACATGAGGGTCTTGGAACAAGGAATGATCATCCTTGGAGGAATGTGGATCTTGATTCCAAAAAAGGTGAATAAAAAGGATTAAAACTGGGAAAAGGAAGAACCTGGAAAACTGAAAGAGGAAAACTAAGGTCATAGGTAGAGCTTTGATGTGATGCCCTTGGGATACAGGTTATTGTATGGATTTCCTGGTGCTACCAAAGCTGGAGACAGTGAGATGCTTTGCTCTGGGCAGGGAGTGGTGATGCACCTCAAGTTCTCTTGTGCATCACCATTTTAAGCTCACAGAGACACAGCTTAGAGCTTTGCACAAAAATACAGTTTTAAATGGAGTCACACACAAATCATGGAATCATGGAAAGATTTGGGTTGGAAGGACCTTAAGGCTCATCTCATCCCATCCCTGCCCTGGGCAGGGACACGTCCCACCAGCCCAGGTGGATCCAAGCTCTGTCCAACCTGACCTGGAACACTCCCAGGGATGGAGCAGCCACAGCTGCTCTAAGCAACCTGTGCCAGAGCCTCAGCACCCTTATAGGGGAGGAATTCCTTCCCAATATCCCACCTAAACCTCCTCTCTTTCAGTTTAATAGAACTTATAACTCTCTCTATGTAATAACTATAAACAGTAACTTTAGAACTGCTGCTCTGCTCCTGTGAGGCCCCACCTGAAGTGCTGCACACAGCCCTGGTGTCCCCAACAGCACAAGGGCCATGGAGCTGTTGGATGCAGAGGAGAGGAGGCCACAGAGTTGCTGAGAGCACTGGAGCACCTTCCCTACAAGGACAGGCTGAGGGAGTTGGGGCTGTGCAGCCTGGAGAAGAGAAGGTTGTGTGGAGACCTCAGAGCAACCTGCCAGGAGCTGAAGGGGCTCCAGGGAAGTTGCAGAGGACTCTTGGTTAGGAACTGCAGGGACAAGACAAGGAGGAATGGGGAGAAATTGAAAGAGGAAATTGAGATATTAGGAAGAGGTTTTTGCTGTGAGGGTGGTGAGACACTGGCACAGGTTGCCCAAGGAGGCTGTGGCTGCCCCAACCCTGGCAGTGTGCAGAGTCAGGTTGGATGAAGCCTTGAGCAACCTGCTCTGGTGGGAGGTGTCCCTGCCCAGGGCAGGGGGTTGGGGCTGGATGATCTGTAAGGCCCATTCCAATCCCTTAACTATGACCTGGAGCTGTTGGGTCAGAACTGCTGTGAACAATTTGGAGCTGGGAGGAACTCCCAGGAGTGAGGGCAGGGCAGTGCTCTGGAACAGGGTGGGGGTCACTGACCTGATGTAGGGCACCAAAGGGTCCACGTGGTGGAGGACAATGGCAGTGATGTAGGAGAACACAAAGGATGCAGCTGACCAGACAACCAGGGCCACGGGCAAGAAGGAAAGGCCTTGCTGAAACCACCACATCTCAGGGACTTCTGACTCCATACACTGCAAAGAACCAAATACAAAGGTTTGCTAAGAGTTGTTGAAGGTTTAATGAGAGTTCTCAAGGGTTTACTGAGAGTTCTCAGAGGTTTACTAAGAGTTCTCAAAGCTTTACTGAGAGGTCTCAAAGGCCTAGTGGGATTACACAAAGGTTTACTAAGAGCTCTCCAGGGTTTAGGAAGAGTTCTCAACGGTTGACTAAGAGTTGCCAAAGGTTTACTCAGAGTTCTCAAAGGTTTACTAAGGGTTTACTGGGATTTCTCAGAGGTTCTGCTGTTCCTGAGCTGTTCCTGCTCCCTGCACACAGTTTGCTATTGCTCTCAGTCCTCTCCTGCACACCCAAAGCAAACACTGACACAGGAATCATAAATAAGGACAGAGAAATCATAAATAAGCAGAAATTTCACCTGGAAATGCTCATTCTGAAACCTCAGAAGGTCATTAGAAACCAGAAGTGTCACTTTACTGCATGGCTTGGATTTGTTGCTGCCAGAACCAGGTCAGGTGGGTCACTGCGAGTAACTGACTCCTTTTTCTCCTTCCCTTTGTGTCATAGCATGGTGTTGGCCTGAGTGAGGCTGCCAGAGGTGTCCCACAGTGACACTGTAAGTGATAGTGGCTGTGCTGCAGCCTCCAACCTCCATTAACAACCAGGCATGGAGGAAATGACCCCAAATCACTTTACTAATTGCCTTCATTACTCCCTGTCACACTGTGTAACTCAACATCTGTCATGAGCATCACCCAAATCAGCTTTGAGATGTGTGTGAGCAGGAGCTCAGTGCTCCCAGCCCCAACCTTCACACTCCAGGGTTGCTACAGGGGGGAGGAAGAGGCATATGTGCAGTGCAGTGAAATGCCTAACTCCATCCTGACACTCTCCAGCTCCCTAAATCCCATCCTGGCAGCACCTCTGTGCCTCACCTAATTGCTCTTTAAGGTGTAGCTGTGCCACCCAGGTGAGCTCACAGAGAGAGAGCTGTGCCTCCTCCCTGCTCCTGCTGCAAGAGGGAAGCAAACACAGAGTTCAACAGAGCTGATTTCAGCCTGGCTGAGGGGGGAAAGAGCTCTGGAGGTCACCTGGGCAACCCCCTGCTCAGGATGGCTGGTAGGTATCCCCCAAGGATGGGGATACACAACCTCTCTGGGCTCTGTGCCAGTCATGATCACAGAGACAAAGAGTTTCCTTGATGGTCACCAGTGAGAAGAGTAGGCAAGTGATTAAGCATAGTTAAAACTGGAGGCTGGAAATGGAATATACAAGAGGACAAAGGTGAAAAGCTGATAATAGACTCCAGATGCAAACAAAGATCTGTATGGGAGAAAGGCAGAATAATGCTGAGGCAAACTGGGAATACACAGCACTGAGAGGCTTTAGGAGAGCATTGCCCGAGGGTGAGAGGCTGGAGGAAAGGAGGAGAAAAGGAAGAAGGAGGAAGCACCACGACTAGAAAGTCTCATGAGAGGAGAAAAGAAGTTGACACTACTGTGGATGAATCTTGCCCGAGGTCAGAGCTGCTCAACTGTTTGCATCTCACTGGGGAGAGCTCAGCACTCTCCTGCCATGGACTGGGTGCACACAGAGCTGTTTGGGCACAGGTGACCTCTGTCACAGCTCTTTGCTGACCTTTGCCACCAGGAACACCCAGGAGAGCATGTGGAAAGGCAGAGACTCATCACATGAGCACAACAATGAGTAATGAGAACTTCAGTTACCAGAAACTGAAGTTACCAGAACCATGGAATCCCAGACTGGATTGGGTTGGAAGGACCTTAAAGCTCATCCCATTCCACTCCTGCATGGGTAGAGACACCATCCACTAGCCGAGGTTGATCCAAGCCCATCCTGAGGATGCATCCCTCCTTCCCCCCTGGGATCCCTGTGTTTTCAGGACCAGCTATTCCCCATCCTGCAACATCACAGGCTGCAAAATGCCACTTTGGGGCACTTTTTTCATCCCTCAAATGAGGCCTCAAAAGAGCTGATCAAAGCCAGTGTCACTGCTGTTTGTCTCAGTGACACTCCAGGCATTCCCAGGACATCCCAGGCCAGGCTGGTACAATAGCTGTGTGTGCAGGGGTTGTGGAATCATAAAATCCCAGACTGGTTTGGGTTGGAGGAGACCTTAGAGATACAATGCCACCCCCTGCCATGGGCAGGGACACCTCCCACCAGCCCAGATTGCTCCAAGCCCTGTCCAACCTGGCCTGGAACACTCCCAGGGATGGAGCAGCCACAGCTGCTCTGGGCAACCTGTGCCAGTGCCTCACACTGGTCACTGCTTTAGACCCAGGACACTGGTGCTTCAGACACACCAGAGAGCTCAGGGATGTCCCTGGCAGGTACCAAAGAGTAACCCCTAACCCTTGAACAGAAAGTCCAATGACATCCTTGTAACACGGATGCTTCAGCTGCTTGGAGGAAGCTGTTGGCAGCAGGCAAAGGTGTCTAACAGGAGATGTAGTGAGTAATGGAAATAGAGCAGAGTGACAAAATGAAAGTTGTTTGATTTCTTAGCTGTTTTTAGGCTAAATATAAACTTTGCCCTCTCATATTGACTCTAAGACTGTAATGCAGTAAAAAGCCTAACCCTAACTCTACATATAGATGTATATTCATAACTTCACAGTCTCCTGTGTGAGTAACTTGGGAATTTGAGCAAGAAATGAAGGTTTGCAGGACATTCTCTGTCACAGATGTTTCCTGCCTGGCTGTGTAATTCCAAACTCCTGTCAGGCTGATGCTTGGATTGTACCTGTCCTTTCACCTGTAAATGTTCCAGTGCCTTCACTTTCTTCCTGAGATTTTTCCCTGCACACAAACCAAGCATTGACCACATACCTGAGGACAAGGACATCCAAGGAAACGGCACTCAAGGGGAACCCAAGGTCATCTTGTGCTGGAGCTCCATGTTTGCTTCATCTTCCTGATCTCTGGGATAGAAAGGAAAATAATCCATGTGTGAAGGAAAATAATCCATGTGTGAGGCACTTCTTACCTCCTGCTTGCCACATTTATTCTTCTTAGCACCTTCTATCAGTCAGTGCTGCTGACTGGACAATGGATGAGACTATTGGCCTGACACAGGATGTTTTTCTTGTGTTCCCAGTGGTTTCAGCAGTGAAGTGTGTGGTGAGGTGGTAGAAAGGCAGAATCATGGAATCATAGAATTTAGGGGTTGGAATGATCCTCACAGATCACCCAGTGCCAACTCCCTGCCC